TGCCGAACCCATGTCTAACCCTCCCCCTTTACCCAGACTTGGGACCGGCAGTAACCATAGGAGAGCTACAGGCGTATAATTATTTCAATTTCATGATTTACTACAGATTATACATTAATCTATATATCTGAAATAGTAACTTACACAAAATTGTGAAAAATAATAAGTTCCATTTCCTAATCACTGAAATATTACATACGTATGGTCATTATTATTATTATTATTATTATTATTATTATTATTATTATTATTATTAGTGATGACGGAATACCTCATGTTCAATTTATTTCAACTTATTCAGTCAAATAATGGTTGTAATACTCATTTCATTTACAGTATTGTATTGTAAGAACTCCATAATTCACGTGTATACTCTGGTTAAGGTAGCGTAACTTAAGTCAAGAGAACAAGAACACAAATAATGAAAGAAATTAAGAAACAACGACGGAAAGAAGGAAAGAAGGAACAAAAGAGAGAGGTAGAAAATCTACATTTCAAAATAACAATTCGGCCAGACAAAAACATGGCACAAATCCATGAAGTCACTGATAAGTAAACTGAGCCATGTTGGTAGATGTAGACTATCTGGTTGGGATCAGCGAAACGATAGTAACCAACGGTTAGAGACTTTGAATGAAACATGGCACAATATCATGTGCGATGACACAGGTGCATCCATTTTTTGTACTCTACCAAATTCTAATCTTCTGAATTCTTCATGTCCCTATATTTTTACTCTTTCCAAATTTATTTCACTCGACTATACTCCTTGAATAACATCTTCAAACCCTCATGTTTCTGATTACTGCTTATACTCTTAATACCTCTACCACTATGGGATTTGAATTGACAACTGCATCTCCGTGTTAATATGATATGGCAACTTGGACTGATGTGCATACGTACAAAGTTTCACACTGTTACTGACTGACTGGTGAGAAAAGTTCTTACATAAGTTACATATTCTTACTACTTCAATGATCTTATTCTACAAAGAGAAAAAAATGGAATCAAATCTACATGATTCAAAGTTTTCTTCATTTAGACAATGAAACATTTCCGAAATATTTATTACATTCAAAGAAACGACTGCATAAAAAACGTATTACTAGATTATTCATTGATCATCTTATAGATATTACTTTTCTTCATCATCATCATCATCTACTACTACTACTGATATACTTTATTATTTGTCTGTAGATTAAACCTAGTCATCTTATTTACAATACTTAATGATTCATTGAATACATTCTATCTAAACATTGTATATATATATATATGTAGATAGATAGATAGATATATACATCTATTGTATTAGATAGACAACAAAACTAGTAAATATGTAGAAATACTAACATAAATGAAAGAAAACTGAAATATGGTAATTGATAAACGGTGTATATATCTATACCAACTTCTTTTAAGGGTTTACTAACGTAAATATCAATCTAGTCATTTCAATAGACTTCTAACATTACTTATTACTACTTCTAGTACACTACGTAAGAGGTGAATCAAAAGGTCAATAAAATAATCTATTCAATGTTTAATACAATAAAATTAAAGAAGAAAAAAAAGAATGAGGCAACAACAACAAAAAAAAGAAAATATATCAGTGAATAAGGATAAAGAAGAAAGATAGAAAGTGAAACTATCGACTTATGTCTTATAGATATATATTGTGTTTTGGGAACCTTATGAAAGATATGGCAGGAAAATTGTGTGTGCATGTGTATGTGTATGTGCAGTATGTATGTATGTATGTATGTATGTATGTACATATGTGAGCTTATATTTTGGTACATGTAACTAATGATAATTAGGATAGAGAAAAGATATAAGATATTAGATATTCGGTTATGTAATGAAAAACTGATTCCTTCGTTTCTTTTGTAATCACATAAATAGATATATCTCTTTATACTGTTTAAATATAGAATAAAATGACAATAATAAAATGGTTCCTATGGCGATTATTTCAATTTGTTGACAATGATTTGTCATTAAAAAACTAATATCCATCAAATCAAATAATAATAATTTCATTTTGGAATAAAGAATTCATCAGAAGTTCACATAGTAAAAGTTAAGAATTTCAGATTACATAACGATGAGGATATTTACTTTCAATCATATCATCACAATCTAACAATTTATAACATAACATTATAATCTGATTTAAAAAATGGAAATATGTGAGGATAGTTCATGAGATGAACTTGAGTAAGCCTTAAGAAGCTCAAAAAGAGCTGAAGATATTCCATCCAATCATTTTTTGGAAGAATATTCTAGAATTCTTACATGGAGTTTCCCTATTTAACAAAGGCTAATAACCCTCTGTATGTGTTCTTTACTGAAAATTATAAATACCTGACAGTTTTATACTGTAATTGATATTGTTGATTACAACATTTCTTTCATTTGCTTTCTGTCTTTTCATTTGTCATTTGGGAATGTTCTTACGTTCAACTGGTCAAGTTATATGCAGTATATTAAGAATCTAAGCTTTAGATAACAATTTAAATTAAACCTAATCTATTATTTGTAAAGGTTAATTATACATATCACATATGACATTTATCACATGGATAGTTTTTACCGAATTCCAATACTGTAAAATGTATTTCCATACTACTTGAATGAGTGTTTATAATACAGTTTCATTTCTAGACTGATTCATTCTTTTTAGAAATTAAGTTAACTATTAATGAATTTCAACAGGAATTAAAAAGAATACAACTTAACAACTTATTTGAAAGAATATTTAGAATATTCAATATTAAATGGTTGGAGTCCGCGAGAGACGATAGTAACCAACGGTTAGAGACTTTGAATGACACATGGCTCAAAATCATGTGCGATGACACAGGTGCATCTACACTTTGTGTTCTACCAAATTATAATCTTCTGAATTCTTCATGTCCCTTTATTTTCTTCTCTTTCCAAACTTATTTCACTGGATTATACTCCTTGACTGACACCTTCGAACCCTAATGTTTCTGATTACTGCTTATACTCTTAATACCTCTACCACTATGGGATTTCAATGGACAATTGTATCTGTATGCTAATATGATATGGCAACTTGGACTGATGTACATAAGTACAAAGTTCCATGTTGTTACTGACTGACTGAAACGGATTCTATTCATTATTGATAACAAAGATAACTTTTATAAACCATTGTGTACACTTACTATCATTTCATTATTTAAATGATAGATATTGACATTTTAATAGTAATCGTTTTACTATTCTATATATATGGCATAGTTTAATGAACTCTTACATTCATATCCCCTAACAACTTAAATAATTTACATACTTTTGAAATAAATTTACTATTATGATATAAATTAAATGGAGAAAATAACATATATTGTAGAAACAAAGATTGAATATTAGTTAAACAATAGTAAAATGTAAAGTTCCATTAACAATAGAAATAGAAACCTCAGCACGGATTTGAAAAGCTCGTTTGGCTTTTGCCAGCTTGCATCACCTATGGCGAAAGAGAGATATCTGACGAGTATACTGCGCGGCAATTCGTTTTTTTTGCGTTATGGCTGCGAAACGTGGCTCACTGGGTAAGTAATAGTGAGGTTGGATGCACTTCATTAAGGAATTCCGGTAAATCGGTTAATGAAGTTGTGAATCTTCATAGACTGACATGGTTGGACCACATGTTGCATATGCCTGAACACAATGCTGACTAGTGTTGGGGATGGTTGGAAGAAAGTTAGGGGTGGCCAAACCAAAACGTGGCATCAGTCACTGAAGTAACTAACTTCTAGTATATGCCACGTTGGTAGATGTAGACTACACATTTGTGGTCCGCGTGACTATCGTAACCAATAGCTGGAGACTCTTGGTGACATGGCTCAGAATCTATCACTATGGTTGAGGTGTATAGACTCTAAGCCTTTCCTTAAACTAAGAGATTAAAATCGCTTCATATCTCTCTTTCTACCAACTCATTCACTCTTCATGTACTATGTCCTTATATGATATCTTTCTTTTATAAACTACCACTACTGAATTAACTACTTTTATGAATCCGGTGTCCATCTTGTTGTGTTAATGAGGTGTGGCAACTTGGACCGATGCACATATGTGCCTAGTCCTACGTTGTAGCTGACTAACTGATTACCAAAGATGGATGCAAATATACCAGTAAAAGACTGATCAATTTCAGTCCTAAAGGCATTGATGGCAAGATACAAGTAAAACAACATCAAGTGAATTTAAACTTCACCCTGTTGCACAAGCAGGTGGCTATCAGAACTCAGTAACTAAGTGGATAACGTGATGATGTTTGAAGCGAACGTTACTAGGTCCGAGTCTCAGAGTGAACATCAACTCTGAAATGTAGGTACATCCAGCTAACGAGTCCCAAATACGACGAAACACGCGTAAAACTGCATTCCAGTGCTAGTCACTATCCATCTTTGCTTAAAAAGCTTGTGACTTAACGCTATATCAAGGCAATCCGCACAGGATATACATATGCCAACATGAGACAGATCAATCGCAGTCTTAAATAACAATCGGAAGATACAAGTAAAACAACACCAAATGGATCTTTAGTTCACTGTTTGTTTCGTTTAAATTAACATTTAAAAAATAAGAAACTTACTGGATTCTTCTTATTATCAAGTATATCTGTACATGAAATACAAACTGACATAGTTCCTGGTTGTTTTGTTTGAATATTTTGATTTTCTTCTGTTGTTAACGGCGATAATTGCTTATTTTTTGTAATTGATGACAAATATTTCTGCTTTTTAATAGATTGATTATTTAAACAGGTTATAACGGATTCATGACATATAATACAAATATTATTATTATTAGGAAATTTTTTAGTATTCTCTTGTACAAGATTAGTTGTATATGAGAATGGATAATTGTCAGTAGAGGTACATGAGAAAAATCTTCGAAATAATGACATACTCACTACACATCTCCATTCAAGAATAGTTGAATGGATGGACAGGATGATGAAAGTGCTAAAAAAGAATGAAGTAACAGAAAAAACAGGTAAACAAATTTGTCATAGGTTAATCTCGGTTGATGTAACACTACAAATTAGAGGGTAATAAATAGCTAGTTTGTCATAGTATGTTACCCATCAACAATATTCACTCATGGTGTCGATAGGGATCGAATACAAGACAATCAGGCCTTTCAAAGGACCACTGGAAAAAGGAATACTAACGTGAAAAGCTATTTGTGCTATTTTGTTCTCAACTGAGATCAGTCTGTGACGAATATAATTTATAGATTATTATTGTTAAACTAATGATCAGTAAAACATCATTTTGATTCAACGGTTGGAAAGATTTTTCACCACTTAGATTCATTGATACCAAACTGAATGTTTCTGCTAAGAATCATTGGTCTGTAGGTTCATTTTCGTTGAAAATAATCGGAACTGGAGTACTTTAAGACCTCACAAAAAATTTGTAACTCAAAGATGAACATAAAACTGTGTTCCGTCATTGTGTTATATTTAATTTGTTATCGAGGCATATTTTTGAGTACTTCGAGGATAGACATTACTCACGTACATACGCCCGTTACCCCTCGTGATAGAGAACAGACTGCTCACCAACATTCCCCACCCAACTTTGTCCTGAGCAATCCTTTCTAGTTATTTCCAGCTGCTATTCATCCTTTTCATGTGTACTTCCAATTACCGACGCAATATGTTCTATGATCTTTTACTTTTTCGTTTCCCCGCAGGATTCCAAGGAAGCGCTTGCCTCGTGATGCAGTTTGATGATTTCCTCAATGCATGTCCTATCGACCTCCAAAGTCTTTTCCTAATTTCCTCTTTAGATGGAAGCTGGTTTTTTCGCTACAACAATGGGCTGTTGCTGATGGTATACGGTCAATGAACATCAGATATCTTGTGTAAACAATTGTTTATAAATGCTTTTCGATGACTGTCGTAATAGTTCTCCAAGTTTCAGCTCAGTACAGTAGAACCGTCTTGACATTTATGCTAAGGAATTCTTACTATGATGTTGTCTGACAGTTGTTTTGAGTTCCATATATTCGGCAGAGGTAGGAATGCTGCTCGTGCTATACCAATCCTTGCCATTATGTCTGCATCAGATTCTCCTTGTTTACTGATGATGTTCCCTAGATATGTGAAAGTTTCGACCTCTTCTAGAGCTTTTCCATCTTTGTCTGCAGCTCTTACAGGGTTACTCCCGGTTACAAGCCCGTGCAAGGAAGGAGGGTTGGCAATGGATTCAGAAACCTCATCCTGTAGAAAACCACCTTGCTGAGAAAACGCTGACTAAAATAAATACTTTAAAGCATAGACATCAGATGGCACTGAAATTTCTTAATGAATATTAGCCCTTGGATAATTTGAGTAATTGCGCCTAGGAATCGATAATATCAATATCAAGCGGTAATTAACTCAGTCTACTGAAAACCAGCACTACGCATATAACATAGTGGATAGTGGTGAATGTTATAAAACCTATTTAATTATGAGATTACTTTGAAGAAAGACACCAACTAAAACTAATTCTTAATAAATTATCTTTCGATTTCAGTCTTAAGGGGTAACGATTAAGAATTGTATGTAAAGTAATTTCATATGATATTATTTAAAATATTTACTAAATGCAAGGAATCAAATTTATTCAATATTGCCCTAACCGAAACAGCATACACTATAATGAGACGACTCAATGGTTACTTTTTGTATCGCAATTTAACTGCTTTCTCTATTTTCTTTTGTTGAAATGTCCGTAGTAAGCTTAAATTCCTCTTCAAAATAGAATTTACTACTGTTATCACGTGTTGCAGTTCAATATGTTCCGTAAGCTGAAAAACCCACTTCTTACATATGTCATTTTGGATGTAAAGACAAAACTGGTAAAACCTGATCCTTCAACGAACTTTGTTTAGTAACCACTCCTATCAATTTCCTTTAAGATGAAATGAGTTTTTCAAAAAGGGGCTTTATATTTACATGACGAGACAAACTCTGAACATGCACGAACCGTCCAAATATCCCGATGGAAATTCAGTTAAACCTGCATATATCGATTTACATGACTTTTGCTTCAAACTTATGTCTCAGGTGTAAATAGATTTTTGTCAAATTATAAACAGTTGACCAGTTTTTGAAACCTTAATGTCGTCAGTAGAGAAATGGAACAGAAGTATTAGTCTGGTGTGTGAGTAGTTTGTGGAAAACTATTTTTGTATTTAAGCCACCTACCACGGGATGATACGTAATAAGTAAGTTTTTACTACATACAATTCTCCTCTATGACATTGGATTTTTTATCGTGTCATTAAAATCTTGATCCGAATAACCGAGGTGCTTTTTCACTATCAAATTAATGTCTGTTCGAGTAAACTGTTGAGTACATGACATAAATCAACAATATATTACATTCGCCTACCGCCTGATATCTAAGCAAACCAGCCTCTTGCATTAGCTGTTAAAAATCTAAGCTGGATAGATGCTTTTTCGCAAGGCATATCGAACAATGTATCTTACGTTACAGCTCCTCTCAAACGACAACTGAGTAACCTTAAAGGTTCTTTAGGATTTAAGATAGCAAGTGAAGTAAATTCTTTAGTTATTTATGCTAAACAATACTATGTTCTTGACTAGCAAGTAAAAATAATAATAGCTTATCTCTATTCGTTAATATTTAAGACTGTTGGCTAGTAGGTAAAATGTCAATGTAATTCATCATACTTATCACATTTTTAAGGACTGTGTTTGAAAGCTGTTCTAGAACAGCAACAGTTTGCGAAGAATTATAAAAAAGAATCAATCTTTAATAAAACAGCTGTTTGTAAACCATTCAACAGAAAGGGATTGAAACACAGAGCTCATAAACGCATTTTAGACATGAGCGTTAGAACTCTTCCATGTGCTTCACATATCAAACCTTTTCCATAAAAAAATATTACAAATAGTGGAAGCCTGTAAATTATATCAAAAATAAAAACAAAGTGTTGATACATAAAACGTTTTATGTTTCTGTTAAGCTTAAGATTGCGGTAATTAACAGTCTATTACACACATAAACGAAAGCTAATATTAAAAGAGTATGGGCCAACTTCCCCATAGTCTATGTTATTGCTTTGATCACAAAAAACATTTAATAGTTTATATCCTCAATGCATTTCTGTGATAACTAAAATTTCAACCAGATCGCACATCGAATTAATACTAAATGCATTTAACTGAGTCACTAATTGTCAGGCATAGCTATGGAACGCGAATTATAAAGATTTACTGAGAGATTTGATTCCATAGACAAAAAGCAGCAGTTAAGTAATTAACAATTATATTTCTTAGAAACTAAACAAACCACAAGACTCCTTACCTAAACAATGCGGTTTATAAAGTATGCTTAAATGTGATGAACTAAAACACGCTTCAGGATGATCGGTGTTCATGTCAATAGATCAGGTTTTCTGAAATAAAAGCTCAATATTTGGTTGAAAAGCAAGTTATACACAGTTGAAAGTCACCCAGCAGCATCTTTATGTTCTGAAACTAATGAACAGGTGGTTTTAGGTCGATCTGAATTGACTTAAGGGGAAATTAACGAATTTCGAAACCTAAACATCCATGAAAATTAAATAATAGTAAACTTAACAGAAACTTTATTCTCGTTCGATCTCAAAATGTTAAGTGTTTACCACATAACCCTTTAATGAAATCCCAAATTCAATGAAAAATGCTGTGTGGTGATATACGAATATCGAGAGAACTTATTCAGCAGCAGTTATTTGTCGTAATTATTCATGTAACTTTCAAACATTTTGTGTGGCATGATTTCGCATAAGTTTTGAGACAAAAGTGGGTATTTCAATTACGGCTGGTGAATAGTTTTTCTTTCGTGCTTGCAAGTAACTGGTATTTGCAATTTATGTTTTACGTGTTTAATTATGCCATACCATACGTAGGAAGCTTGGTGGTAGATAGGAAAACACCTGCGAGGCTGAATATACACCATACTTGTTCTTATGTTGGCAGTTTTAAGACTCTATTTTTTTAATAAATAAGATGTAGTGTAGCGGTAAATAAATCCCCAAAATAAATAGCCCTGTAAGTTTTCGACATTGGATGCTGACCACATGTTTTAGTGGACTCATTTAGCTGAAGGCGCTCGGTCAGGCATCCGCACCAGATCACGTGTGGTAACGCCGTGCTCAACATCAACCACAATCGCTAGCCAGATTAGATCAGAGAATTCCGATATATTGGTCATCGCCAAATATACTCTTCCGATCTCCTCGACTCTGTCTTTTGATTTCTCTGGGCGGGAACGAAATATATTAGAAGGTGTTACTGGTAGAAGCGTTGTCAAACACTGAATACCTGTGACATCATCATTGGTGAAACCGACGTGATCTGGTACACCTAATTGCAACTGTGAGTCTGTTCCTTTTTGGGATTTTTATATATCATTGCCTTATTTTTTTATTTTTTTTAAACATTGTGATTTTTTTTCGTGTTTTTTCTTCGGTATATATATATATATTTTCCCCTCGTTCATTATCGTACTTCATACTTCATCATGACTGAACAGACACCTAAAGTACTCAAGCTTAAGACTTTGTCCCCGCCTTCGTTTCAACTGATGCCTTTCTGGCCCGACAACATCGAAGCCTGGTTTTGCTTCGCAGAAGCCGACTTTTCCGAGCACGGCGTGATCGACACACGTGCACAATTCCTCGCAGTAGTCAAGGCACTACCGCGCGAATTCAACAGGTACGTAACACCTAGTATGTTTACTAGTGATGTTTCCGATCCTTACGAAATCTTAAAACGCTCGATTCTTAAACGAGGAGACCTAACCGATCGACAAAGGTTAGATCAACTCTTCAACAATATCGACCTGCAACACGGTTCTGCGACAGACATGTTGCAACGGATGAGAGAGGTAATAGGCCCAAGAACTTTCGACGAAGGTCTATTCAAACAACTCTTCTTGTCAAAACTTCCCCAACAGGTGCAAGCAGTTCTGGTCTCGTTCCAGAACAATGCCTTAGACGAGCTAGCTGCATCTGCCGACCGCATTTTAAAAATTACGAAATCTACTACCGAGGTATTTTCAGTCAAAGAAAAGCCTCACACGACTCAGAATGATATAAACGACTTATGTCACACACTCACGCGTTATCTTAGTCTTCGTACCGACCGTAAGAGATCGCGCACACCACGTAGAAGCATTTCACGTAAGCGATCTGTCTCTAGACCACGAAAGACAGATAACCCCGACTGGTGCTGGTATCATAACCAGTATGGAGAGTTTTCCAGAAATTGCAGAAAACCCTGCAATTTTCCCAACACGAAACCGACTGATTCGAAAACCAATTCGGGAAACTTCCAAGCCGGCACGCGTTAACAGCAACCGTAGCCGGCGAACAAAGCCGTCTGTTATTCGTCACAGATGTGACAACGAGAGTTTGCTACCTCGTCGACACTGGCGCAGAAGTTAGCGTTCTCCCAGCAAATCCTAACGACCGGTATCAGGAATCGGCTTTTAACTTACAGGCGGCAAACGGAAAACCGATCGCTACGTATGGCAAAAGGTACGTTTACCTTAACGTGGGTTTACGCAAACCCATTCACTGGATTTTTGTTGTTGCAGATGTTTCTATGCCAATCATTGATATGGACCTTCTACAACACCACAATCTGATCATCGACACTCGCAAACGGAGGCTAGTAGACGGAAACACTAATTTGTCCGTTTGCGTAACTTCTTTTGCTGGTTGCAAATTATCCCCAGTCACAATTAAACATATGATAGACCCACTCTATCAGCCACTTCTCGATAAGTATCCTGGGATACAACAAACGCAACCGAGATTACCGTGTGTAACCAGCAATGTTACACATCACATCACGACTACAGGACCACCTGTATCCTCTAAAGCACGACGACTAGATCCCGAAAAGCTAAGGTTAGCAAAAAACGAATTCGTTCACATGATGGACTTAGGAATCATACGACCGTCAAGTAGCCCATATGCATCTCCGTTGCACATGGTCCCTAAAAAGGACAGCAACGATTGGCGTCCAACTGGTGACTATCGGCGATTGAACGCGAAAACCATTCCCGATCGTTACCCGTTGCCTCACATTCACGATTTGACAGCTACCTTGAAAGGTACAACTGTCTTTTCGAAAATCGACTTGGTTAAAGCGTATAACCAAATCCCTATGGCTACTGACGACATACCGAAAACAGCTATCATAACTCCTTTCGGACTCTATGAATTTTTGCGAATGCCTTTCGGTCTAAGGAATGCTGCTCAAACATTCCAAAGATTCATAGACGACGTTTTTCGAGGTCTCAACTTCGTACACGCGTATGTTGACGACTGTCTAATCGCAAGTCCGGACAGAGAAACACATCTCAAGCATCTGGATCTTGTTTTCGAACGACTACAAAAACATGGCATAACTGTAAACGTTCAGAAATGCCAATTCGGAACCGACTCATTAGACTTTCTGGGACACACTATCGATGCTCAAGGCATTCGACCTCTTAGGACCAAAGTGGAGGCCATTCTGGATTACCCAGAACCGACCACCGTCAAGCAATTACGCACGTTCAACGGCCTGGTAAGTTTCTATAGACGTTTCATACCCAAATGCGCATTACTTATGAAACCTCTGACCGACCAACTTCGTGGAAATGCGAAATCCATTAATTTGGACGACACCGCAAGAAAAGCATTCTCCACAGTTAAGGAACTGATTGCTAAAGCAACAACGCTCGCACATCAGGACACCCGAGCACCCATTAGCATCGCAGTAGACGCATCCGACTCGGCAATCGGAGGAGTCTTACAACAATGGGTTAACAACTCCTGGCAACCCTTGGCATTTTTCTCTAGAAGGTTGCTAGACACCGAATCGAGGTACAGCACATTCGGTAGGGAACTCCTAGCTATGTATTGTGCTGTACGGCATTTCCAACACTACATCGAAGGTCGTGAATTCACTCTTTTCACGGACCATAAACCGCTCACTTTCTCGTTAAGCTCTCCTTCTGACAAGTACTCTCCCCGTGAGTCTCGACAACTGGACTACATTTCTCAGTTTACTTCAGCCATTCAACACATCTCTGGAGCAAACAATGTAGTTGCGGACGCCTTATCTCGCATAACTTCCTTGAACAGTTTCCAAGGAATCGACCTTCTTAAACTCGCCGAGCTTCAAAAAGAAGACAGTGATCTTCAGCACGAGTTATCGTCCACAACACTTAAACTACGCATCAAACAGATGGGAACAGGTAAGGAAACCTTACTTTGTGACACATCTACAGGTAGGGATCGCCCAATCGTGCCGAAACATTATCGACGCAATGTCTTCAACACATTGCACAAACTTTCTCATCCAGGTGTTCGTGCAACCATCAAGCTTATAGCAGAAAGGTTTTGCTGGCCTGGAATGAATAAAGACGTGAGGGAGTGGGCACGCTTCTGTGTAAGCTGCCAAAAATCTAAGGTTATCAGACACAATAAATGTCCCTTAGGCTCGCTTAAAACTCCCGATGCTCGTTTCGACCATGTTCATCTGGATTTGGTAGGACCTTTACCAGATTCAAATGGATACTCTTATCTTTTAACCTGAGTAGACCGTTTCACTCGATGGCCAGAAGCAGTACCTATCAAAGACATCACTGCTGAAACAGTGGCCCGCACCTTCGTCGAACGATGGGTAGCAAACTTCGGCTGCCCTTCAACCATCACTACAGACCGCGGACGTCAGTTTGAATCTGATCTTTTCCGTCGTCTGACCACACTTTTAGGAATCACTCGATTCCGAACGACCGCCTACCATCCACAAGCAAACGGGTTGGTAGAACGTTTTCACCGACAACTGAAAGCTTCGCTATCAGCTGCAAACGTTTCACAGTGGACCGACGCTCTTCCACTCGTCTTACTAGGTATCCGCAATGCAGTGAAAGCTGACATTGGATACACTGCGGCTCAACTCGTTTATGGAACGACACTTCGACTTCCAGGAGAATTCGTGGATCCTTCATCCTCTTCAATGAACATGGATCTAACCTCCTACACGAACAGGCTTACAAACGCAATGCGTTCAGTTAAACCTGCTTCCACTCGACCTCAATCAACTGATGTTTTCGTTCAACCTGACTTACGATATAGTACACACGTTTTCGTTCGTCGAGACTCGCATCGACGACCATTCGAATCAGCACACGAAGGACCCTTCAAAGTTCTTCAACGTGAATCTAAGTACTATATAGTCGATAAGAACGAAACCAACGATAGCATCAGCATCGATCGCTTAAAAGCAGCGTATTTAGAAGGAAATCCTATCTACGTGGATTTTCCTTCGGTACAATCGAACGACACGACTCCGACATTTATAATACCTCATCCGACAACCAACACACACGATGATACTTCGACAGTATCCGAAAATAAACTTAAAACGACGCGTTCTGGAAGAAGGGTGAGATTTCCAGAACATTTAAACGACTATTGCACGTAAGGCACTTCTTGACATTTTATATTAATTTTTTTTAAAAAAACAATTTTAATATGCTTATATATTTTTATTTCTATTTAAAAAAAAACAAAACAAAAAAATCAATTTTTTTAACGCTATTACGTGTTCATGAGTTTATTTTCCATTTTTTTCCCGCCGACATTGTGCTTTTACGCACATACGAGTGTATTTTCGACATGCACTTACATTTTCTTTTTTCTTTTCCAGGACGGCTGGAAAAGAACGACGACGTTTATGAGGATCCGAAATTTTCATTGTACATTTTCTTTTTAACTATGTTGTACCTCCGTCCCATATAGTAAGAAAAGACGACCAGACGCTGCTAAATTTAGTAAGCTATCAGAAGAGTGTTTACCAACGACAAACTCGCTGGGTTTAAACTTCTGGCTGGCCACGTCTTGGGGTCGTCACTGCCCCACTAGGGGGGGAGTGATCTGTAGCGGTAAATAAATCCCCAAAATAAATAGCCCTGTAAGTTTTCGACATTGGATGCTGACCACATGTTTTAGTGGACTCATTTAGCTGAAGGCGCTCGGTCAGGCATCCGGACCAGATCACGTGTGGTAACGCCGTGCTCAACATCAACCACAATCGCTAGCCAGATTAGATCAGAGAATTCCGATATATTGGTCATCGCCAAATATACTCTTCCGATCTCCTCGACTCTGTCTTTTGATTTCTCTGGGCGGGAACGAAATATATTAGAAGGTGTTACTGGTAGAAGCGTTGTCAAACACTGAATACCTGTGACATCCATCAGTAGTATCAATGTATTACAAAATCCATAAGGTATGATTTTGCCTGGTCGATTTAATTCCCCGTTGTATTCAGTGAGCAGCATCATATAGATGCGTTCCCACTTATCGAAGTTCATTCTCTTCTACTTATACAAAAGCGGTTCCAAATCTTTAGTTTTCAAGCCCTAAGGTAACCATAAGCCAATCATTTTTTCCTAACTTGATGAGAACTTGATGATGGACCTGGTGATGCAATAATAATAATAATAATAATATATTTCTGCATGAGCAGGTACACGCCATTTTTTCAGGCATGATCTATAAATTACAACATTTGTTGGTGCACAGCATGCTTCTCAACTTTTTAAGTTTATAGTTGTTATGAAGTAGACTCCTAGAGCGCTTGCTGTAAACCATGACCTTGAGGTGACGCGTACGTCAAGTTTGTTCCAGACGTCAGAAGTTCCATAGCTGTGCCCTCAGAGCAAGACTCTGAAGAAAGAAAAAAGAGAAACAAAAGAGCAGGAAGGCACTTGAATATGAACGCCAAATGTTGCTTAACATTGTGTAGTAGAACAGACAGAGGCATAATACATTAGATTAAATTCATATTATCTCTTGTTAGAGTGAAATGAAGTCAGGGGCTCCATATAAGAGAATGTAGTAATAAAGAACAATGAGTTGTGATGTTTAACAAAATAGAGTACGCTTACATGAAGGAACTGAAGTCATGGCTAGTACAAAGAAAGCGCTTTATTAGAAGGGAGTGTGCATACAGAAGGTGAGGTGTTAAAATTACTAACGACTATGTCTTTTATTGTTTAATTTTTTCTTTCTTTTCCTTTTTTGTCCATCCGATGGAAGCCACACAATCGTAGTGCAAATGTTCGAGTTAGCATGTTGTATGTTGTCTTAGTAGAATAGCCAATCCAGCATAAAATAGAAACATGAATCTGAGTGATGAGCGTAGAAAGACAATCTATGTCACAGATTGATTGACTTATTCTCAGTCATAAAGAGCCTGATACATACAAAATGTCCTTCCCCACAAACACGGGTGGATTGAAGTCATCGCCCTCACAATCAATGCTTGCTGGTCAATAACTCCATCCTCCCTCCTTTTGTGATGTTAGGATCATCTAAGCTTATTTTTGGATTTATGTCATACCTCACACAATCCTCTGTGTTTCACAACGTGTTGGAAAATACTGTTTCTATAAGTACCATTTAACAAGCTTATCAGGCAGTTAGAAGTTATGGACTGTGAGTAGGGGATCGATGCAGTGCTTTAATTGACTATAGTATAAATTGTAGTTGGCCAATTACAGTATAAACATTTAGAAAAGTATAATGTCGGATAGTTGTTTATTAAAGCAGGCTGAAAAGTATATAAGCAGATGAGTTGTAGATAAGGTAACGATTGGAGAAATAACATTAATTGCTAGTCAACATAGTGTACAGGAGAGTAAAAAGCTGATAAAGCACAAACAAGAAGAAACTCATATTAACTTGATGTCGATGTTATTTTGTTCCATCCCAACCGGTTGATAGGCAGCACGTTCCATAGGAGCAAGACCACTAGTAGTGGACAGGTATTTGTGCGTTTTTTTCGACTTTTTAGGATAGAAGTAAGTGTCTCTTAGCGACCGATAGTCGATAGGTTCAGTGAGTTACCTGTCTACTTCAAGTAGAAAAGTTAGGAAGGAAAAAGTATCTAATACATCTACAAAGTAGGAAAGTAAGGCAATGCGATCTATACATGTAGAGAGCCTATAATATCTGGGTGAGACGCAGTTGTGTCCGTTTGTGCCAGATCTGTGCATGTGAGGGCTTGACCAATAAGTCTTACAAACGTATGTAATTCATCTATCATGAGTATTTCAGAGGCAAGACTGTTCCATAATAATGCATACTTAGTGAGGAAGAAGTTTCCCCGAGTTTTCGATCTGTATTTCTCAACTTTGACCGCTGCTACTTTGTCTCGAAGGTCGTATTCATGAGTGTCATGGGCAAGAGCTATATTCCATGTGGAATGAGTAAGGTTTTTCAGGAGTTTGAAATAGAGGATCAAATTGGACCTTAGCCTTCTTTTCCAAGGGGTTCCAGTCCTAAGATATGGCATCGAGAGCTGTATTCAATGAGTGGGTCGTTGTTAAGTATTTTGCGAGTGAACTCTCGTATTCCTTCCACCTCAAGTATATCGAATAGGCGTAGGTTGGAAAATAAGAGCGAACGGTATTTAACGATAGATCCTACACAGATTTTATAAATAATCATTCTAGATTCATTTTGAAGAGCCAGCCGCATTTCTCTGTGTTGAGCTCTAACCTCCAGCATTTGCACCAGTCGTCTACCATGTTGAGTTCATGTTAGATTGTTTGCATAGTATTATGTACATCGCGAATGTCAGTTTTATAGATGACTTTTAAGTCATCGGCATAGAGGTAGGTCTGACCTGTGCTAAAGCACTTGCACATATTGTTGATGTGGATTATAAAGAGCAATGAACCCAAGACACTACTCTTCACAACACCATTGGTTATTGGTCGAGGTATAGATGTTGTAGAGTTAATCTTGATTATTCGGTAACTGTTCGTAAGAAATAGCTTGATCCATTGTAAAAGAGGATTTATAATTCCAACTGACTTAAGTCTGTTGATTAGAAGATTATGAGGTACTTTATCAAAAGCCTTCTTTATATCGAAATATGGTATAACAACTAGTTTCTTCTGGTCACGTATGCGTGTAACCTCATTAAAGAAGTCTACCAGACATGTACTGCACGACCTTGTTCTAATGAAGCTACGTTGTGACGGGTCTATCAGATCTTCCTTAAGTAGGTGATCAAATAGATGATTTTGTACCGCTTTTTCCATTATGCATGATATGACTGGAGTGATATTTATGGGTCTGTAGTTTTCGACCAGGTTTCTCGGTCCGGATATGTGTTTGGGAAGAATATACGTTACCTTCCAGGTTTCCGGATATGTACCTGTCTCTAAAGATAATGTGTATATTTTGAGTAATAGCGTCTATATGTCCGGTCCTGACATTTTATAAAGGATTGAAGGGATGTCATCGGCACCAGAACTCGCATTTGGCTTAAAAGTTTAATGGCGGTATGTATACTCCTAATGTCGAGGTTTATAGTTCTGAGATAGTTTGTGCTGATGCACTTTACATTGATATCTGGCGCATGAGATGTATTCCAAATGCGGGAGAACCATTCCCTTAACAGTTCGGTCATAATACGTCACTCCATCGTGCAGTAAGGAGTGAATGTTATTAAAAGATAATTTCGACACAGACGCACTAGGATGTATAACAACAAAATCTATAGTTGAAGCACATAGTTATAAATGTGTCACCTAAATAATGATATGACATTCATTCTCTTAACCTTATGCAAAATGTTTAGCATCAATATTTACGTCGGTCGTGGCACGAATTTTCGGAAAGCTTGCTGCAGTTAGACGATTTGATTCAGATGGAAACAGAATATTGTGTAATTGGAGAAACAGAAACCATTTTATAAGAATCCACGTTACCGCAGGTAATGAGCAAACGGTTAGTTGTTCTAATACTCTAAAAATATCACATTGAAAATATGAAACTGGTGATTACACTTTGATCGAAAACCGATGAAACCGTTGAATATACGCACTAGAATATTGCAGGAATATTGCAGATCCCTCCTAAGGCCACATTAATGTGACTCGACATAGCGCCAGCCACAAGCTTAACTGTCAAGACTATTCTGTAAATAACACCATTCTTCACAATCAACCTGTACAATATTTTTTAGGATACAAACACTAATGGCACCTCTATCTCAGCATCTTTCCCAAGTCATTTCAAACCACAGGCAAAATATAAACTCACTTCTCACGTGGGGCTTCAATCAGATATTATTCCTACGTCTCCCTTCTCGTTAAACTCTCCGAACTTCTTCAATAGCTCATTCTATATATCCCCCTCTAGCTCATTTTATCAACAAGATGGGCTACAGAAGAACAAACATCCAATCGATTTAAGAGTATCGCTAGCGCTTCATATTAGCTTTAATAGCTTCTAGACTGACCTTTCTCACAAATTGCTATATATATCGATCACTGAGTTGACCGACCCTACCACATCTATTTCTATGGGTCTTAGGAATGAATTATCCCTTGCCCTTCTAGCGACCAACACATCTCTTAACCGAAGACCAATGACTAATTATAAAGAATCATTTGGAAATCTCAACTGCATGAACATTGAACAGAATAACTTTCCCCCACTAATATGGTTGACGATTAACTAATTTCATTATCCCTTAACAGCATTTCTTTGCCCTATTTAGTTATTCACAGATCTCTGGCTTACCTGATCAATCCATGATGTATTCTAACTACTGAAACCTAGTGCACATCCGATAATTCTGATTTAACTTTGTGTATAGATGGTTACAAAATGTTAAGATCTGAATTCTAGAAAACGTAGAGGCTGTGTGATATATGTGCGATCTGATATTCTGTCGACTGTAATCTTACCAGAGGGTTGTTAACTGTTAAATGATACTATATTCATCATTGCAGATAAGTGTAACCATCAGCACCTTATAATAGGTTGCATATATAGACCGTCAAAAGCCGCTTGTGCAATGGATACACGTTTAGACCAAGTATTCTCATACTTATTGTCACTACCTGTAGCTGAATTAATAGGTGGCAAGTTCATCATTTTCTCTTTTGGTTGGAATACACTGGTTTTGGTTTACCAGGCAGTGATCACAATGTTTTAGGCTGTCGACTCATTGCGTGAAAGCGCTCATGTGCTTCTTATGGGAAAAATTCTCATAGATTCTATCAGAAGCATTTCAAACACCGACTTGTCCTACTCCGAAACCCGTCTTCGTGGTCTTAGTTGGGATGAGTCACGTTCTTCTGGTGACTTTGTTACTACAATAGATTATCTTTATTCTAATCTCAAGTGCTATGACCTTGATGTCTGGCTTTCTATCACGCGACTTATCGACCAGTCAGAATACGGCTTATACAATTCCGCACTATGCCAAACCAATGACGTTCAACCGGTATGAGCAGTTTAGCGTCCTCCTAACCCTTCCACTTGAGTTCAGAACACAATACCAGCTTCCGTAATATGAATCAAATCGTTTATTTCAGACATACTCGGTTTATATATCAATCAGACAGATCACAACGTACCATAAAATAGAAAATAACATGTGTACACAAATAAGCCAGAAAGTGGCTGCGAACGAGGGGGACAGTAATTAATAGACTGAACATAGCCTAAGAACCGTAAATCGTACAATAATAAATTATAAATCGAAATAAAGCTTATAATAAGAGGAATATAAATATACATAATGTAATTGTTGAATAGTTATACAATAAGAATATTTATAGAATATTAGTCCATTAATAGCCCTCGGAAGTTACCTGTAATTTAATCTTCACTAGGTTATAACATCAAGACCTATCTGAACTTAATCGGTCCAATTATAACAAAAATACCATACGTCCCTCATTGTGATTAAATTTCTTCCAAATTCAGATTTCAACATACGAAGGTACGAAAAAAGGTTTTCTGCTCAAGATGAATTTTTAATATTCATTCAGTATCTAGGAATGTCAAAAGCTTTCGACACACAGAGGAATTAGAATCTGGATGACGGCATTCTGATTTTCAAAACAAAAATAGATTTTTAACAGCTGCTCCAAGGAGTAAGCATTGAGTGCAGTCTAATATTCCTACTGTCCTGAAATCCAATGGTCTACTTATAAGAGACTCAGAAGAACTACGTGAGCTGCTTAGTAACACATTTGCTCAGAATGAACGCTTAACCGGCAGTGTCAACCCATATATATTGGCAGATCTGACATTCACGCCGGGTATCGCGAGGGATGCAATACAGACATTGTTACGTTCTCTTGGAAAAGGTCATGCTGGAATACTGATTAATTTGATTAAATACGAAGGTTCATATATTCATATCCTACTTAATAAAATATTTAATTTGTCCTTTGATTCAGGCCTTTTTCCTTGTCAATGAAAGTCTGAATATATCATCAACTACTACTCCAGACTAGACATAGAAAACCACAATTCCATCTGATGTAGAACTATGGAGATCAATAGGAACGCAAACGATCAATCGACTATATCTTCACAACATGGATCTATTTCAAAAAGTCATGAATAATATGTTACCTAGAATACTATGATTGTTTAATAAACAATGAGGATGAAGGCAAACCAGCTACTACTTTCTAATTTGACTTTACTAAAATACAACACTGTTCTTATAAAACACAGATTAAATTTTTCTCAAAAGATTGAATTCAAGTACTGGAAATAAGGCAACACTATTTCGACCGTCAACTCCGCCTGTAGCTCTTCTGGAGTTACTGCCGGTCCAAAGCTCGGATAAAAGAGGAGGGTTGGGCATGGGGTTAGCGACCCCATCCTGTAGAAAACTAACTCGCTAAAAAACGCTTACCAGAAAAAATAATTCTAACCATCTACACTCTACCTTGGGAGTCACAAGTTCTTCATTTAGAAGACCTATGACGCATCACGGTAAAAGCCCAGTTCCTTCAAAAGCCGCGAGGCCGTCGCCACATTTAACAACCAGAGCAACAATGTTTACAGGCACATAAGACGTCCAGACACTGTGGTAGACCGGGAATTTCAGACAAATAGCAACCGAAATGAGAAGATACAATTTGGTAGTACTTAGAATCCGAAAAACCCATTGAACCGAAGCTGGGCAACAAAGGCTAGAAACGGGAGAGATACTGCTATACTCTGGTCACGAAGATGAAAATGCTCCACACACTCAAGGAGTTGCTCTAATGCTGTACAAGCACTTGTAGGACGGAAATCTCACGGATACAGAATCATCAAAGAATCATTCAAAACAAAGAAGGAGTGAATAACAATGAATATTATCTAGTGCTAAGCACCCACCAATTTAATGATCAATTCTATGAGAGGCTGCAATCAATCAAAGAAAAGTGCCCAAGAAACGACCTCAACATTGTTTATCGGGGATCTAAACGCCAAAGTCGGGATAGACAACACCGAAAGTGAAGATATCATGGGACGGCACGGACTTGGAGAGAGAAACAAAAATTGGGAAGGATTTGCGAATCTATGCGTATTCAACAACTTGGCCATAGGAGGCACGATATTTCCACACAGACGTATACAAAAAGCTACATGGATCTCACCGGACCACACTACAGAGAACCAAATAGATCATATTTGCATCAACAAAAAATTCCGAAGGACAATGGAAGATGTGAGAACCAGGAGAGGTGCTGACGTAGCTTCAGATCACCACCTAGTTGTAGCCAATTTGAAACTGAAGCTAAAAAAGAACTGGACAAGTGGACAAACAGCAATACAAAGGTTCAATACAGCCTTCCTTCGAGATACTGTCAAACTCAATGAGTTCAAGATAGCTCTTAACAACAGGTTCCAAGCCTTACATGATCTACTGAAAGAAGAAGAAACTACTATGGAGGACAACTGGAAAAGTATAGAAGAAGCATTAACTTCAACGTGTCAAGAGGTTCTCGGTCTAAAGAAATACCATCATAAGGAATGGATCTCTACAGAAACACTGGACAAGATCAAAGAAAGGAAGAACAAGAAGGCAGCAATAAACAACAGCCGAACACGAGCAGAGAAAGTCCAAGCACAAGCTGAATACATAGAAGCAAACAAACAAGTGAAGAAGAGTATTAGAGCCGACAAGCAGAAATACGTGGAAGAACTAGCAACGACGGCGGAAAAAGCTGCAGGGGAAGGAAACACGAAACAACTTTACGATACAACGAAGAAACTATCAGGGAAATATGGTAAACCGGAGAGGCCGATCAAGGACAAAGAAAGAAGGTCAATCACTGAAATCCAAGAACAGAGGAAGAGATGGGTAGGATACTTCGAAGAACTCTTGAATAGACCAGCCCCAACGAATCTACCGGACATCGAAGCAGCACACACAGATCTTCCTATAGATGTCAATCCACCAACGACGGAAGAAATCAGAACGGCCATCAGACAAATCAAGAACGGGAAAGTAGCAGGACCCGACAACATGCCAGCTGAAGCACTGAAATCAGATGTCGAAGTAACTACAAACATGCTTTACCCTCTATTCAAAAAGATTTGGGAGGAGGAACAAGTGCCGATGGACTGGAAAGAAGGACACTTCGTCAAGATTCCAAAGAAAGGAGATCTGAGCAAATGTGAAAACTACAGAGGCATAACACTACTGTCAATACCAGGGAAAGTCTTCAACAGAGTGTTGCTGAACCGGATGAAGGATGCAGTAGACGCCCAACTTCGAGAGCAACAGGCTGGATTCCGTAAGGATCGGTCGTGCACAGACCAAATTGCAACACTACGGATCATCGTCGAACAATCAGTTGAGTGGAACTCATCACTATACATCAACTTCATTGATTATGAAAAGGCATTCGACAGTGTAGACAGGAGGACATTATGTAAACTTCTTCGACA